AAAAAAAAACTTTTTTAAATCACTACTTAGAATATAATATAATATACAGTGCTCAGTATCAATTTTTTAAGCAAAAGTTATGTATAACAATTTAAATAGAAAAAAAAATTTATATTACAAGAGGTCAAAGTATTTGAAAAACTATTGAAATATTTGATTTCAAATAGTTTACAGTACAATGTAATGTATAAAATGCAATTCACTTGTGTGCTGGAAAAAAACATTTGTTGAGTATTGTACTGGAAACAGTGATTTCAAAAAATGTTTCAGAAAAAATTTTTTCTTCAATTGGTTAAACATCCATAAAATAATTGTGCCCAAGTTCTGCCAATGCCCCAAATATTGTGTTTAACAATTTTTTTACAGCTAAACCACCAAAAATAAATTTTTTTTTTTTTAATGCAACAAGTTGAGAACATTCATCACCACGGAGATGTATTGAATATCTCGATAGCCTTACGTAGGTTTCTTCAATACTTTAACATTTCTGGGAGTTACTTTTCATACGAACTATATTGTAGTAATTGATAAATTTATCGTACTTTCAATTCACATCCGTTAATAGTTAATAAGCGAATCAAAGTATGCGTGTATTTTTCCTGTTCACTCGTTTGTACGAATAACATTTTTTATTTATCAAAAACAGATCTTGGGATAAAATGTGTAATTTTAACGTCACGTAGGAAATTAATACGACGACGAGCTTCAGATATATTATCCTCCGAAGAAAGTGCCAATCACCAAAAATTTGTGAGGACAAGCGTCGATAAGCTCTCTCACGTCTCTCTTTTATCCAAATTCCACCGACAGAGTCGCATTTATGGCCTTTTTTTCAGTCGCTGATAAAACCAATGGCCTTTTCGATTACGCGAAAATAATATCGCGTAAACAGAAGCCAATGAAAAAACGGCTAGAGTCGAAGAAAAAAAAGCCATCGGATACTTGGTCGTCGTTTTTGTATAGGCACGCAAATCACTGTGCGTCATCGCGAGCACAAAAGGCCGCTTCTGTATCATCGCAACGATGGACGATAAACGCAGAGCTCGTACACGCGGCAGTCGCAATAACGAGGGAGATGGAGGCGTCACGCTGTCGCGGTATAAGCGCTCCCTTTTCTCTCTCTCTCTCTCTCTCTTTCTCTCGTTTCCGACTTCAATTAAAATAGATAGATACAGCGCGTCGTAGAACAAAGCCGCGTCCGCGTTTATAGTTGATATGCAACAGTTGTTCACTCGAAAAGCCTGAAGTTTTTCTAATGTCCGGGTATAGTGTGTCTTTACTTACACTATAAAGTTCTTTAGAAAAGAAGACAAGGATGTGATTCTTTTTTCCGAAAGAGTGTTTTCTCTTGCTTCCGTTTTTTACTACTTATTAGAGCTTATATTATATTATGCCAAGTCTCGTCGTGCGAAAACATTTGTGCAGTGGGCTGTGTTTGTAAATCACAATTCATATGTGCGTCCACAATGAAAATGGACCAAGATGTACCGTTTTAAATGCATATTGTTTGTCGTGCACGTTGGAATCTCTGAAATATCATTCAGCGTTAAAAATTTGTTCAAGTACATCCAAAAAAAATGTTTTTTGAGATTGAACGGGATTGCACACATGTACTTGATTAATTTCGTGTTAACTTAAAACTCCATTTAGGGGCTTTTTACTTTGGCTAACCTAATTTTTACCATATTCTGAGCAGTAATTTCTATAGTACAAACAGTAAAAATCACTGTACTTGCAACTAAAATTACTGTTCTAAATGTTAAAAACTACAAATAGTAAAAAGTCTCTAGATAACCAAACAGTACCAGATTACCATTCTAGCACAGTAATTTTTCTTTTTTTCTCTTAGTGTACCAGCAACTTTTCAGCTTAACGAGTGCTCAATCGGAACGTGTTCGATTCATTAAAGTAAAAAATTATGACTTTTATGTACAAATTTTTCTCCAGAATGAAAACAAGGAAAAAAAGGTGCGGTGCAAAAATCTTTGTTATCAACTTTGGTTATCTCTAAATGTTGTAATATTTCGAAAATTGCGATATGTACGCACCTGTACTTGATTTTCAAAGCTAATCACGTGCAAAAAGCACATTGTGAACCCACAGCACTTGGGTACGTACGTCGAACTTGACGGGAATGACGGGCAGCGAACTCTTTCTCTGCATACTCACATCTCTGTAACGCAACGCGTGATTCATATTTTTTGTCGTCACATTTGTTATATATTCACAAAAAAAGAATATGGTTTCGTCCCCTATTTGACTTGAATGCAAAAAATGCAAGTAATAAGATTCAAATGTCAATCAAAGTACCGACACGCAGATTACACGCGACGCGGTGCTCATAGATTAAAAAATTATGCTCGAAAGATCTACCATCGTGACTTTTCAACTACTCTCGAGAACGAATACGTGTTTTTACATTGCTCGTAACTACATATTTTCGAGGCAAGATTTTTTTTCCCACAATCGTCAATATATGAGCTGAATAACGTGTGATTATACCTACAATGGGAGTGTTTCTTGCATCAGGCGACAAGATGATTCGAGCCAAAGTGGCGATAAGTGATGCAGGAACAGGCTCAAAAATTACAATTTTCTTTTCAATCCCTTAATAAATGTTTTATCGCGTAAACCAAGTACTTCTTGAAAAGGTCTAGCGCAAGTGTCTGACTTTCAAAAGTTGATTACTCAATGAAATACATCCTTGAACTATAAATTACGTAACATAGGTGATTGCGGATCGCAGTAGCTGACTAATATATATTATTTTCCTTCTGCGTGATCGAACAAAGTCATCGCACGTGGTGGTCCTTAACATTCAGCGGACGGCGCACATTGACTTTGACACACATTAAACGAAAGTGACTTGAGAGAAAGATTTAATTTAAACGCCAGATAGGACACGTGTAAACAAATTTATTTTGTAAATACAATCCTATATTTGTGAATGAATGAATGAATGAATGAATAAATAAATCATGAATAAATAAAGGAAACATTTTAATCTTAAGAGACAACAAATACGATCGCAGGCTTGTGAGTGTAATTTTATATCCCAAAAGAGAAGAAATACACTGTGAGAAAAATATAATAAAAATTACTGTGCTGGAATGGTAATCTGGTGTCATTTCGCCATCTAAGGGGTTTTTTTTGGCCAACCTAATTTTTATCATTCCGGATAGTAATTTCTATTGTTCAAACAGTAAAAATCACTGTACTCACAACAAAAATTACTGTTCTAAACACCAAAAATTATTGTTCCAATAGTAAAAAGTCTCTAGACGACCGAACAGTACCAGATTACTATTCTAGCACAGTAATTTTTATTATATGTTTCTCTTAGTGTATGCATTCGGATGTTTTTTTCATTATGTAACCTTTTATTTTTATATTCATTTAAATTTCTTTAAAAAAGTAAGGAACACTTGTTTCGTTTTTGTTCAAACTTCTGTACATCTTTAGAATACAATACTAAAATAAGTGTATAGGCACGCAAATCACTGTGCGTCATCGCGAGCACAAAAGGCCGCTTCTGTATCATCGCAACGATGGACGATAAACGCAGAGCTCGTACACGCGGCAGTCGCAATAACGAGGGAGATGGAGGCGTCACGCTGTCGCGGTNTCATTTAAATTTCTTTAAAAAAGTAAGGAACACTTGTTTCGTTTTTGTTCAAACTTCTGTACATCTTTAGAATACAATACTAAAATAAGATAAATGCTAAATAGTTTTTAATCCGACAAAACGTATTGTTTTTAATTAATATCACAAAAAGTGATGTACAATGAAAAAATAGAGTGAAATGAAAAAAAAGCATACTCCCACTTAAATTACTTGCGCATAGAATGTAGCACGTATCAATCGACTTGTTTGTAACATCCATGATAAAATCATTGTAGGTAAATGTTCACATCAGAATCCACACAATAATTACAGTTTTGCATTAACTGTTTAATTCCAGTTTTTTTTTTAACTTACTTTGAAAAAACTTAAAAGTCATGTCTATGATTTGTTGTTCTAGAATAGTGATACAGAAATACTTACTATTTTTACTTACTGCTTGTTGACCTGTAAAAAGTCAATTTTTAACTCCATGATATTATCTAAGCTAGGTATTTAATGTTTTATGGAGAAAATTTTGAGGACTGATAATTGTTTCCATAAATGAACTTTTAAACATAATAGTATTTTTACCTTATTATGAGAATAACCGAGTTGTTGTATAGAGTGGTTTGTATTATTTCATGAACAATGTATCTGGAAAATTTCAAAAAGATAATTATTACTACAATTTTTACTAACATGTATAACTATAACCACAACCTAAACCCATCTTAATCATCTTAATGAATGTTGCAATGCTTGGAACTCAATGGCACTTATCTGAGAGAGATATGGCCATGTACGATAATGAATTTAATAAAGAATAATCCAAGTTCACTGCTTCAATGGAATTCTTGTTTGTTTTAATCATCTTTATTATCTCAAGTCACGAAAAACCATGACATGTCAGATTTTTTGATAAGCCATCGTAGATAAATAAGAACTACCGAAAAAGATAACAACAGTAGTCCAGCGCTGACGGTATCTGAGAAGTCATAACAACAAACATAGACGTTCATTGAGAATTTCTCGATTTCACAACCATTAATCTTCATTAGGCTTTCAACGTTGCATGAATTTGTAAACATGCACTGATAGGTTTCAAAGTGGGTGAGCTAAAAAAATACTTGGGAAAAAAATATTGTACAAAAATTTTACAATGTGCATTAAAAATTAAATGAAGATTTTGAATGTAAGTTCATTACTATGAATAATTCACATTTATTAAAAAAAAAAAAAAAAAAAAAAAAAAAAAATTTACATTGATGAAAAATTGATTATTGTAATGATCAAGATACTCAGCTACTAGAATGGTAATTAAATTTAAAAAAAACTTACGAATGAGTAATTGAAATGTGTTGAACATGAAAATCATTTGAGCATCTGCGCGTGGTACTTGTAGATACATATTTGTGTGGAGTGCTTCGTAAGGCATACGTGAGTGGATATTCTAGTTTTTTTTTTTTCTCTAAAGTACATAACTTGTCGATATTCTTGTTCAGTAAAGTAGGAGACCAAGTGGTGTCTAAAAAATTCAATACTACTACACAATCACAATAACTGTTCTTGCAATATGACACCTGACTGGAGCATGCAATTTTTTCGGCAACCCTTGGCAGACAATCTAAAATCACGTTTAAAAAAAAACAGTTGATTGACATCGCAAAAATTCAATTTCTGGGTCACACTTGAAATTTTCTTTAACCAAATAATACTGTTGCCAACAATTCTTGATTGACGATCCCTAGATCGTGCAAAAATATCTCGAAAAGCAAAAAACTTAAAAAATGAGCCTCTACTGCATGCATAATAGTTGCTAGAGTTTTTCGTATTTATCATACGTGACCCAGAAATTTTTATCGTTGTGTAAAAATGAGGTAACTGTTTTTTTTATCCATCGAGCGATTCCATTGATAATATACAAGCCTAGAATAATTCATGTGCCATTCAAAGCTTTTACTGATGAACGATCTTTTTTTACGTTTCCAGTCAAATTTCCACCAGAAGAAATTCAAAGAGACAAATCAAAAACCAGCTCAGAGCTTGTGTAGCCCTACAAAACAATTAAACCTTGAAAAAAGATACTGCATCAGTGGACCAGGCGATGCGAGCTCTAAGTCGCTCGACTTCGAAGCATCAACCTTCCATCAGCACGTGAAAAGTGTAAAAAAGTCAAAGAGATCTCGTGTTAGAAAATGGACCACCAAGTAAAGACCCATTGTCCTTTGATCGTCGAGGATAGTAACAGCAATCTCATGACTAATGGTCACCAGGTGAAGCAACAGCTCGCCGTAGCGCCAACTAGCGCACTGGCGCACGTCAGCAAGTTGTCACCCGTTAACATAGAATTCAACGATCTGACGTACACTGTACCAACGGGGCGCAGAGGTAAGGAGCTTCTTCGTTTTGTTTTTTTATATCTTTTTTCTTTTCTTCTTTTTTTTGCTATTCTATAGTTCACGTTATTGATTTATTCTCGAAATCTCAGTATCATTTGTTTTGGAAACAATCAAAGCTAAATGATCNGTGCAAGTGTAAAAGCACTATCTCAAATATATGTTTGGAAAACATTTCATCTCAAAATAACATTCAAGGACGTTTCACCTCACAATAAAAAAAAACTCTTATCGCAAATGAATATTAAATAACGTTAAATTTCATAATAACATTGAGGTTCAATTAATTTCAAAATGAAAAAACAGCTCATATGAAACTAGATATTGTATTTTCGTGGATAAAAACTTATGAATGCCTACTAATAAAATTCAATTGAATTGACTATTTTTTTATATTTTAATTTTATCGATTTTAAAACGTCGTTTTTCATTGATTTAAGATATTTTATGATAGAAACTCTTACATATCTTAAATTTTTTTGATAAAGGTTCCAAAAGAGTCGAAAATCTGCATCGGTTTGTCCGAAGATGTAATAGGTTTAACGTGCCCTTAATATTATTATGATTTGCAGCATATTAATAAACTTCATCTCCACGTTTAAAAGATTATTCAAAACCCTATTTTTAACACGCACAACATTATGATTATTAAAGAGCATAGATGAATCTCAATAATAATTTTGATAGTTAATAGGATGAGTAATCGCATGATTCATCAATTATAGCTTGCAAATAAGATTAGAATCACCGAGTTTTGCTTTACAGTATAACCCACGCACGCCCCCATCACTGCACATATATAAGATTATCTCAAGTGCAGCCTCGTAATTTATAGTTGCCATTCAGGTGTACAGCCGGAACCCCTTGGAAAGAGATCCTCGTAATTGCATTGCACTGCAAATACATGTTAGCTCTTTTTTACTTCCATCCGCGCATGCATAATAGATGTCGGAACTATGAAGCGCATTATTCAGGCGTAAGTGTATACGGACACGGGCAAGCTTTGTCGCTTACGATCAATTAATTCTCTTTGGGCCTTCGAGTTTTTGGGAGACTATGTGCAGTGGATGCGGTAAATGTACACATTTTCATCCCATAGAAATTATTTTACACAAAATATCGTTCACAAATTGGTGAACGTTACGAATACTAAATATTTTATACACATACCTTTTGTGCACAACAATTATTCGCCCTCTACTCTTGATGTTGGGTACGAGGTACGAAGTATGATCTATTTTCGTGACAGTTTGTTTATATGATTAAAAAAAGATTTGTAGATTTTGAAGACTTCCGTGAATTTTTACCTTTATTTAGATTTAGAGATTTAGAAACCTCTATAGAGATTGTAAAATTTTCGTTACGCGTTTGCGCAGTAACAATTACGATGTGATTTCTTTTTTCAGCTATTAAAATAGGTAAACATGTAAAGATTAAATCAAACATAACAATAAATATATAAATTACTTATTTCTTCAACATGATAAGCATAGGATATATTCATTCATCTAACAATCTTGTATCAAATGTGATTGATGATTTGTTATTTTTCAAATATTTATAACATAATAGTAGTCGTAGCTTACATTGATACAGAGCATGCGTATGTGACTTCCAGTATGTCGAAATAAAAGTTTTTATAAAAATTACCGGTAATTTGATGATACGATTCACAAATATATTTTTTGCAACGTTTTTTCAATTTTTGCTGTATACAAGTTGGAAACAAAGATGGCAATTTGATATACAAATGTATCACAGATAGCTACTTCATATAGATAATTTTTGAGGAAGGTGGGCGAGGCCAAATTCTTTCTCTCAAGCTACTAGGCTCCACTGTCTTTATTTGTTTAAAAATTTCTCTGAAATTGAACAGCACGTGGCATTTATTGGTGTCTCCGTTGCATTTTAGTCTTTTACTTGAGCAACAGTCATCATCGGATGTGCACTGAAAATTAAAGAGAATATCAGAGTAATAACTTGGATTCATTATAAGATTAATTATTCGTACTGTAATTGAGTGAATTCTATAGTGTACCATTGGCATCAACAGAAATATATCATCATATAATTTAATTTTTTGAGCATGTATCTAAGTACTAATTAATTTAAAAAAAAATCTTATTCTTTGAACACTTAAGTCTTAATTAACTTCACATCAAGGATTACTTAACCTAGACATAGTCTTGTATTACAATATCTTGATTATAAAATCGTAGAGAAATCAACGGTTAATCAACTAAAGTGGCTTATGAAAACAAGTTGTTTTCAGAATGTAAATTGTGTAGACTTTTAATTTATAATAGTTCAAATAAATTTAATTCTTAAATAAAAAGTAAAATGAATAGTCAAACAATAAATTATATATTACAATTATAAATAAACAAAAAAAATAATGATTGATAAGTATTAACTGATTAGTCAGTTTATTTAATTTACTATTTTTTTTATATTGTTTTTTACAATATGGTAGATCCTCATTATAAGTAGTAATACATTTTTTTTACACACTATCAGCTACTGCCTATACTATTTTTTTAGGTTTATCAGGATACAGAATTCAACAAGTGCTAAATTAAATAATTTACTTACATGGTCGTTAAGTTGTCCACAATTTTTACCATCCTTATATCCTAAAATTGTAGCAATAGTCAAAAAAGCTACAAGTGTGAATAAAGTTATCCTTAACATCCTGGCCATCGTACTTATTCTGCAATAGAGCATAACGAAAAACTATTATTCACCAGTGATGTCTAAAATCTCTAATGTTTCTTTCCTTATAAATAATAGTCATTTGCAAAATAAAATCTAATTTTGTAAGGAGCTGTTTTTATGTGACATCAACAGCAAGTGATTCATAGTGTGTGTTAACGGTAGTTAAAGCAGTTATCATCAGAGTATACTGTCATTTTGAATCTTGTGAGATAAATAAAAACCAATGAAAATTGATCGAACTAAACTTACGTAGTGCATATCATATTAAGACGTTGCAAACATTAGTGCATTTAATGTTAAGAAGTATTGAGAATAGTAACAATGAATAATATACCGCGACAAAACTTCCGAATTAATTGACGTACAATTACATATATTACTGTACGTATACATAAAATGAAATAAAACAATATTAATCTGAATTAATTTTGGTGAGTATTGATATTAACTACTAAATATGTAAATTTACGGAGGAAATAAAGTGCGAGTTAAAGGCCGAAAACTTTATTAAATCAGAGTAAAAGTATAATATAGAAAATTAAGCTATAAAATATGTTATAAAGTAAAATACCTGAAATCAACTACTTGAAGAAATACTGTAACTACTCACTATTCCTTACGTAAGACACAAATGTCGTTTGATCTATATTACTCAA